TGACCAGAGCTGTGTGCCTGTTATATCTGTAATTACTGGTGTGATAGAGAGCTGAACTGTTTTCAGGTTGAGATTCATTCACATTTGGTTCTCCATGCAGGATGTGTTCCTGTAGAGTGGTGCATGTTCAACTGAGTTAAAGTCAACTGTAGTAAAATGTGGCCCACTGATGCATTTTCATATTCTTTTTCATTGAAGAAGCATTTTCCCTTTTCAGGTGGGTGCCCAGCTGGATGAGGAGAGGAACATTACGGCCCTGGTCCCTCGTCAGCCCCTGGAGGTCCACGAGACGGTGGCAGAGTGCATGATTTACGCCAACCACTGGGTGGCCCGCAAGATCCAGGAAGCTTTCCCCAACCAGGCCCTTCTACGGCGTCACCCACCACCACAACAGGAGCTCTTCAAGCAGCTGGTGGACACTGCAAAGGCCAAAGGTTTCACCGTTGACACCAGGTAATGTTTCTGACTGTTCAGTATAGAAACTGAGGAAATGCATGTTGTAGTCCATGTTCAGACACACAAGTGTGTGAACCTGAAATGTTTGATAACACGGGGACACACTGAGGTGTCACATGAGCAGTCAGACAAGAAGAAGACATTTTCCTTCAGTTCAGGTTGAGGTTGAAGCCAAATATGCTTCCAAGCCAAAGACTAGAACATATGATGAAGCATATCTTGCCTTTGGCTTCACCTTCACAGCAGCTGTCGTGGCGAGGTCGGTCTCCCCGACAGAATTGGTTTCCCTGGCATCGGGAGCACACGCTGGGCTGTCCAAATCACGGACAAACAGGATCCCACATTGTTGATTTTTAGTTCACAAACACTTCTTCTAACGACGAACTACTCCTGAAACTTTGGAGTTTTTAGCTCTTTATACAGTAAAGTTACAGGATAAATATAATTATCAGGCAAAATGTCCTTCGTTTGTTAAAATAATCCGTCTGATACCGCGTGAGGACAATAAATATTAAATTTTCTGTTGTCACCCTTAAACTGAATGGTAATGTAACGACACTCAGTTTTCACTTTTTTACAAAACTAAAGCATCACTACTTCCACGTCTGATTGTTTGTAATGGAGGCGGCGTGAACTGGATCCACACTCCGTGCCCAGCGAATGCTCGCCACGCAGGGGGAACACACACCGACCTCGGCACAACACTGATCCTGCCGCAGTTTGTTCCCCCGCTTCAAATCACGGACAAACAGGATCCCACAGCTGTTTATGCTTTTTAGGGGTGAAATGGATACTGTGTAG